AATCACACATGTAGATTTGCAAACATTACAAGACCCAAAATACTCACATCTTTTCAATTTTTATCAACTTTGCTGCCTGAACATACCTTTAACTTCCTGGTTAAAGCAAAGCTACATGGGAAATTTCATAAATTGATAAAATGAGTATTTTGGGTCTTAAAAAGTTTGCAAATCTACATGTGTGATTAAAGTAATTAATTCATAGCTTATTAAGTCTGAATCATCCTTAATTGATGATGTTTTCACGGTTAAGTAACCCTTTTATTAATGATTAATTAAGGCTAAATAAGGCGTAGATATAAAGTGTTACCAATATTTTTTAATTTGATCAGAATTTAAAGTCATAATTGGGAGGAAAAGGGAAAGAATGATTTTGTCATCAAGAAATTAAGTGAATAAAAGAAGGGATAAGGGGGAAAAAAGTTAATTTTTCCTTCTTGTGTGTTTTTTTTTTATGTCAAACCTTTTGTTTTCTGTGAAAGATGTGATGCAGCGCTCRGCAGTCCTTGTGGCCTGGTGAGAGCGAGAACAACCGAGCAGAACAGAACCGCCTCTACTTTGTATGCAGCCCAGCAACACCATCCTGATGGAGCGGTGTCACCATGGCAACTGCAGTCACTAGTGGCAGCACACTATAGGTGGTGTAATTAGTTAGTGTGAGGCTTTAAAAACAGCAGAAAGGTGAAACTTACTGTATGTCTGGATAATGTATTGTCTGAACTTAAACCTTTAAAAATYACAGCTGGACGCTGCATTAAGGATCATTCTGACTGATTTCAAGGTCAAAGGTTGAGGTCATGTGACATCTTTGTTAAAGGGAACATCTGCAAAATACATGTTTTTTAGCCATTAAATACATTTTGTTATTTTGTTGTGCAACTGGAGTCTTTATTTTATCAACCTGTTCAGTTTTCTCTATTTTCTGAATAATCAGGTCAAATTATTTGTGACAGAGCTGCTTATAAGGCCTGGTCTTACTAACKACAGTTTGGTGGTCTTCTCCTCTGGTTCTGGGTCAGACTCTGGCTCCAACATGTAAAGCTGGATGGACAAGTCTTTCATTGTTGACATAATTAATTTGTAAATAGGAAACCACGCAACCCTGAAAAGGAAGAAGCGTGTACAGAAAATGGATGGATGGAAGAAGTTTCTGTGCCGCTGTATGAAGCTACAATGGACCGATCTGGACTGAGGCACTGCAGTTCCACTTTATAGACCCAACCTGAAAGATTTAAATATGAAAAAGAGGGATTTAAGAGCACAATGTGTCCTTTAAAACCTCTGTGCTCAGTCTTGGCCTCCCAGCAGTAACAGTAATTAAAACCTCTTGTCTCCAGACTGTCCTTTAGAAAGTGTCCATGGTGGAACACCACACATGTTTAGGATAGTAATGTCAGACTGTGGCTCCACATTGAATCTTTTTTATTTTGGACCACCAAAGACAGCTCAAGTGGTACTTCTGAAGTCAACTAATAGTTGCATTTTCATGTTCTTGAACCCTCCTGTTATGTTGCTTTCCAGAGTTGTAAAGTAACTAAGTACATATACTTCTTTACTGTACTTAGAATTTTTGGGTATCTGTACTTTACTTGAGTAATTATTTTTCAGCCTACTTTTACTTCTCACATTTTCACACAATTATCTGTACTTTCTACTCCTTACATTTAAAAAAGCCAAGAAGTAGAAAGTCGTTACTTTTATTTCAGTTTTGTTTGTTTTCATTCCAGCTTATTGTAAAAAACAAATACTAACCGGTCTGGTGGTGCTGGTGCATGGCAGCCCTGCCTCCATCAGCGTGCCCCAGGTCAGCTGTGGCTACAGTGTAGCTTACCATCATTAGTGTGTGAATGTGTGTGTGCATTGGTGAATGTATGTAAGTGTAAATTACTTTGGGGTCCAAAGGGACTTGATAAAGAGCTATAAGTTCCAGCTATTTACCATTCCTAACCATAGAGCAGGTCAGTTTTCATGCCAAGAAAAATAAAGTTTGAATTTTCCAGTAATCTTTGATTTTGATGTGGAAAGAGTAAGAGAAAATCTTATTCTGTATTCTCTTCCTTTTTAAGGTCGATAATTGGATTTTTAGTGAGTTTTTGTTATTTTTTTAATTCATTTGCTGGATAGTGATAAAATGTATCTCTTAAGAAATACATTAGAAATTGTTGGAGAGTACAGCATGTGACATTAATGCTTTAAAGATGTGTCTTTTAATCTGTTAGCTTTATCTGATTATGTACACTGCCTGCCCCCCCTCCAAAAAAAGTCTCGACCAGGTTGTAACTAAGGTTTATGATGTGGGGTTGCTGCAGGTGGTCAGGTCTATGTTCAGCAACAGTCTGTGCTCAAAGAATGAGGTCAGCTGACCTGAATATACTGAATGACCAGGTTGTTCCCTCAATGGATTGTTTCTTCCCTGATGGCACGGCCATATTCTAAGATGACAATACCAGGATTCATCAGGCTGGAGTTGTGAAAGAGTGGTTCAGGGAGGATGAGACATCATTTTTAGACATGGATTGACTCCACAGAGTCCAGTGAGAATCTTTGGGATGAGCTGGAGAAGGCTTTGTGCAGCGGTCAGACTCTATCATCATCAATGTAAGGTGTTGGTGAAAAATAATGCAACACTGGACGGAAATAAATCTTGTGACACTGCAGAAGCTTATCAACACAAAGCCACAGTGAATGTGTGCTGTAATCAAAGCTAAAAGTGTTCCAATGAAATGAAATGAGTGTGACTTTTTTGTTTTGGTGGCAACTTTTTTTTTTTTTGGCCAGGCACTGTATGTTCTAAATGCTAACGATGATCCAATCGCACCAGTGCAACTTTTTTTTTTTATCAAGAAATCGGGTGCGACCAAACTGGTCACACTCTTAGCCCGGCTAGCTAGTTTTTTTTTCTCACAATCTCAGGTACAAACTTAGGTATGCAGGTGAGCTTTATGACATTCCATCTGGTGCGTTTTTTTTAATCGCACATGCGCATCACTTACAGCGGGTAAAATAAGTATTGAACACGTCACCATTTTTCTCAGTAAATATATTACTAGAGGTGCTAATGNATCTTAAATCAATCTTTCAGAAGTCTTAAAAATGTTACATTGTAAATAGGATGACTGTAATTTGTCTCAAATACTAAAATAATTTGTAACATTTATTTTTTTAAATATTTACATGCAGACATTCCCCTTTGACATCACTTCCTGTTATTTTACATGCAAATATCTCAACAACTGTCCATCTGAGTAACGTGAAATTTGTTTTGTAATATGCTAATAATGTTGTCGTTCCAAAACTCCATTCACTTTTCTTACAAAAACTTGATGTCACAGACACTTCAAGGTTTCTTCTACAGCAAATTGGGGTTAAGACCCCACTGTAGGTCCTAAAACACCAAATTTTGGGTCGTTAAACTGACTGCTAAGAATATTTTTGCTATGTTTGATGAAAAAGCAGTTAGATATGGATAAAAACAATTGGTCTATTTGCAATATTTGAATACTTCAACCAAAAATACTTTGATTCATGAGTTTCTGCCACAGTTTTATTTTTTTTGTCATTTGTGTTTATTATGAAATTGGTCTTAAATTTAATTTCAGTTGGCAATGAAAAGTCTTAAAAAGTCTTAAATTTAACTTGCTTTAAACTGTAGGATCCCTGCTTTAGAAAAGCGGTGAAAGAGGGGCTTGTGGAGTTACAATAAGGAGGAATTCCGACCAAAGCATTGCAGTTCCACTTATATAAACCAACTGAATGATTTCAATGTGAAAAGGCAGGATTTAGTTCTCCTTGATTTTCTGATTGACAGTTATGCTTTAGGTTTCAGCTGCTTTTTTGTCCATTTTTTAATTTTCTAGAACAACTGTGATGTCACCGTGTCTCATCAACAACATATAGAGGAATTTTACTTGATGAAATGTTATGAACCTGCAGCTTGTTCCTGTTTTGAGCATATAAAATAACTAACCATATTTTTTCTCTCTCTCTTTTCATACTCTTGAAAACTCCTTTTATTTCCCAACCAATCTGTCCGTCTTGGGCTTCTTACCATCTTCTCCGTTTTTATCCCTACGCTATGACCCTTGCTGCACTTTCCTCCCTCCTTCACCATTTTTGAATCTCCCACAATGCCTCACCACAGGACAGGCCTCTTCACCCCAGACTTGGCGTTTGAGGCTATAGTGAAAAAGCAGGTCATTAAGCTGAAAGACCCCTGTCTGAAATGCGTAGACCTCGTCGTCACTGAGCTTGTCACCCTGATCAGGAAGTGCTCTGAAAAGGTAAACGGTAACTAAAGGTTAAGATTGGAGAGAACAAAGGATGAAAAATAAACAGCAAGAAGCAATGGAGAGCAGAAATCCAGTGAACTAATTTCCACAGCTGATTATTACCCCTCACCTTTAATGCTTCACTCAACACCTCCTCCTGCTTCCTTCACCAGTGACTCCCCCCAGTCACCAATCGGAGACCCCCAAAGATCCACTCAGCACATCATGAATGGGATCAGTTGTCTAACAAACCCTCACCCTGCCTCATTAAGAAATCAAACACGTCCCCACACACACTTTGAAATTCAGCTCTGTAAAAATGGCTCATCTTTAATTTTCTGAACTTGTCTCTTMCTGAACACCTCCCACACAAGTTCCCAAACATTCCTGTCTTCACGTCTTTCTGATTTTTAACCTTTTCTTTTTCCTGATTTGTTGAGGCTCACTGTTAGCTTGAGATGCCAGTGTTGAGGGTTTTCATGCAATGCCTTTAATCTGAAAACAAAACCAAACAAAAGGTTTGGACTAAAAACCRAGAAGTGAAGAAATCTCAAGCTGACAGGGAACTGGGTGCATGTCATATTTACATCTGAACTGTACATTACCTGTCATTGTTCAGGTGTTGGCGCTCTTCATGGCTCAACTTTGTGAACAGTAGTTGTGTATCCTGAAGTGATTTGTATCAATCTGCAGCAGTGTGTGTGTTTTCTGTGTGCGTGTTGGTGTCTGCAGCTGGGCTCGTACCCTCGACTGAGAGAAGAGACGGAGAGAATTGTGACCACCCACATCAGAGAGAGAGACAGCAAGACTAAAGACCAGGTGTGTRTGTGTKWGTGTTAGTGTCAGGAGGAGACGCAGCTTTGTCTCTTTGTGTGAACAAATGAAGAAGTTTCATGTTTTGGTTCTCAGGTGCTGTTATTGATTGACATTGAGCTTTCCTACATCAACACTAACCATGAAGACTTCATTGGGTTTGCCAAGTAAGATACATTTCAAATTCAAACACTGAAGATCGTTCAAATAAAAAGAGATTAAATGAATTTGGTTTATGTAGAAAATTATAAACAGTCATTATCTTACCTGTTCTAGATAACTCCTTGAGCTGTCATTTTGAAAAGATATAGCCCAGATAGCAAAATATGTTAATTCAATTTTGAAATATGGTCAAAAAAGTAGATTTTTGGTTTAGGGCTGCAACGATTAATCGACGACTAATTGATTATTAAAATAATCAACGACTAATTTAATAATCGATTAATCG